AGTTTTTATTAAAAAAATTAAACTTTTTAATAAAAACACAGGCAAATTTGCCTGTGTTACAATTTAAGAGATAGTATAATTAAACATTGCTCTATGAAAAAAAAAATCATTTAAGGTAATATTGTCATGATACTCAAATCTTATAATAGCATAATTAAACATTGTCTCTATAAAAAAAATTATTATTTAAGTATGTAACTTTTGTCATGATACTCCTAATTAACTATTATAGAGGTCCAACTTCTTAATATGATCAGTAAAAAGGAAAAAATGACTCTTATTATGTATTTATCAGATTTGAGCCTTTAAAAACCTTATAGTAGCATAATTAAACATTGTCTCTATAAAAAAAAAACTATTTAAGTATCATGACTTTTGTCACAATACTTATATAGCTTTGTATTATCTCTATTCTTATTTAATTAAGGTCCAATCCTTTAGATTTAAATTTTTTTGATATTTAATTGATCATGAACAATTAATAATTTTTTTTAGAATAGAGTGGTTCTGAATTAAATTTAATAATGCAGGGCTTTTTTTTTAATAAATATAATTACTAACATAAGAGAATATAAAGTAAAGTTTTTAATTATAAATCTTCAAAGCTCTTTTATATTTAAATATGCTATTTGTTAATTTTTTTACATACTTATCAAGCTCGAATAGAAAATTTAAAAGGATTTTTATTCAAACTTGTTTTTCAAGATACACCCAAAAGAATTCCTAAATCTATTGATATAAATGAAAATGTTAAATGTTATATATGCTTAGATTTTATTAGTCTAACACTCCAATGATCTGTCACTATCTTGTCATATCAATATTTTTTTATAAAAAGTGTATTAGTAATTGGACTAATAGTTTGAGACTTTTTTGCTCTCTTTGTCGAAATGAGTCAGAAGGCTCTACTTCTATTTCTATGGATACAATTCAATCAATAAATATACAAAATTTTTTACCTTCTACACTAATTATATCTATCCCTATGTTTAGTTCTATGACACCTAATAGATCTACTACGGCACAACATAATAGATCTACCACAACACCTGCTACCACAACACCTGTGAGATCCACTACAACACCTGTGAAATCTACTACAACACCTATGAAATCTACTACAACACCTGCGAGATCTACTGCTAGATTGACTATTACACCTGGATTAACTTTGGCTACAGCACCTATCTCATCATTATCAATAGCAGCCACATCACTAACTTTATCTGCATCACCAACTTTTTCTATAGCATTGGTATTTGAATACTTGCTACATCTAGGGCATTAGAAAAAAATTAAAAATTTTTAAAGAACTTATGAATGAATTAATGACTCCTTGTGAAGATGATGAAATATGTTTATCAGTTAGTAGTAGCAATGAAGAAGAGGCAAGTACTTCATGAGATACTATGTTAAACTTGATTATATTATATAATAAGGCTAATCGTACAAGTAAATGTGCTAGGCAAGCCAATCAAGCTAAAATATTGCACTGGTACTATTATACTGAAGAGTATGAAAGGCAAGTAACAATAATATTAAATAATAATAGAATGAATGTTAATAAGGCCAGGTCAAAAGTTTATAAAGAAATTTTAGCTCATTGTCCTGGAATTAATATATTCACTTTAAAAAAAAGATCACAGAGAGCAAATGTCATATATAATTTATTTAAAAAAATCAGGGTAAATAAGATTAAATGACTTTCATACAGCTTTAATTCAATTGCAAGTCTTGCTTCATAGCAAATTAAACAATTGAAAATTATTTTTCAGACAAACTTAGTAATATATTTTTGTTACCTGCTGGGACGCCAATAAGGCGGTTTATTTTTTTTTTATAATTTCATGTGGATGGCAAAGCAGTCCAGTTTAATGTAAATATTATCATCATTTATTATAAATTTAGTAAATAAAGTTTTTTTAATATAAAAGTATATTAGTAAAGTATATATTAGTCAAAAAAAGAGTTGGTCAAAGAGAAATTTCAAGAACCAACTAAAAAAAAGTTTTGATTAAAGTTCTCTTTGTACTATCCGATTATAGTGAAAGAGAATTTCAAAGAACAACCAAAGTATTACTAGCCAAAGAGAGTTCTGATCAAAGAAAAATTCAAAATCTACTCATAATTCTATTAGATCAGTTGAATAAAAGTTTCAAAAAGCCAACTAAAAGCGTGTTTATTATGTGCCCCACTCTCGCACACAACTGTTGTAACCAACCAATATTTAAAGTCATATCCATACTGTAGAATTAATTTTTATTCTAAAAAATCATAATTCAGTGGTTCAAGAGTTTAGTCAAAGCGAATTTCAAAAACCAATCAAAGAACTTTTAGTATGCACCTACCTGGTCAAAGAGAGTTCTTGGTCAAAAAAGAGTTTTAAAAAATCAAAGTTCTCTTTGTATACACCAAAAAGAATTCTAGTCAAAGATTACCAGTCAGAAAGAAAGTTCTAATCAAAGAAAATTTCAAAATCTATCCATAATTCTATTAGATCGGTCGAATAAAAGTTTCAAAGAGCCAACTAAAAGTGTTTGTGTATTAAGTGCCCCACCCCCACACACAACTGTCGTGACCAACCAATATCCAAAGTCATGTTCATACTATAGAATTAATTTCTATTCTAAAAAATTATAATTCAGCAGTTCAAGAGTTTGGTCAAAGCAGATTTCAAAAACCAATCAAAAAACTTTTAGTATACACCTACTTAGTTAAAGAGAGTTCTTAGTCAAAAGAAAGTTTTAAAAAATCTAAGTTCTCTTTGTATACACCAAAAAAAATTCTAGTCAAAGATTACAGTTAGAGAGAGTTGTGATCAAAGAAAATTTCAAAATCCACCTATAATTCTATTAGATTGGTCAAATAAAAGTTTCAAAAAGCCAACTAAAAGCATGTATATATTATGTACTCCACCCCTGCACACAACTGTTGTGACCAACTAATATCCAGAGTCACATCCATACTGTAGAATTAAATTCTATTCTAAATAACATAATTCAGTGGTTCGAGAGTTTGGTCAAAGTAAATTTCAAAGAACTTTTAGTATGCATCTATCTAGTAAAGAGAGTTCTTGGTCAAAAGAGAGTTTTAAAAAATCAAAATTCTCTTTGTACATACACTAAAAAGTGTTCTGGTCAAAGATTCCCGGTCAGAAAAAGTTGTGATCAAAGAAAATTTCAAAATCTACATAATTCTATTAGATCGGTCGAATAAAAGTTTCAAAGAGCCAACTAAAAACATGTGTGTTATGTGCCCATCCTGCACACAACTGTTATGACCAACAAATGTCCAAAGTCACATCCATACTGTAGAATTAATTTCTATTCTAAAAAAACATAATTCAGTGGTTCAAGAGTTTGGTCAAAGCGAATTCCAAAAAACCAATTAAAAAACTTTTAGTATGCACCTACCCAGTCAAAGAGAGAGAGTTGTAATTAAAGAAAATTTCATATCGGTCAAATAAAAGTTTCAAAGAGCCAACTAAAAGCATGTATATTATGTGCTCCACTCCTACATGCAACTGTCATGACCAACCAATGTTCAAAGTCATGCCCATAGAATTAATTTCTATTCTAAAAAAAATCATAATTCAGTGGTTCAAGAGTTTGGTTAGAGAGAATTTAAAAAAAAATCTATTAAAGATCTTTTAGTATACATTTACCCGGTCAAAGAGAGCTTGGTCAAAAAGAATTTCAAGAATCAAAAAAAGTTCTGATCAAATAGAATTTCAAAGAACCAACCAAAATATTACCCGGTCAAAGAGAGTTCTGGTCAAAAAAATTTCAAAATCTACCAAAAATTCTAGGATGTTCTATAGAATAGGTGAGCAGACTCTGTAAACTCAGCAACTTTGCTAAATATTTATTAATGATTACTAATTAGTAGGGAGTTTATTTTTTATATTGCCTACCTATTCTATAGAACATCTGAATTCTATCTATTAGATCGGTCAAAAAAACCACACAACTGTCGTGAACAACCAATGTCCAGAGTCATATCAATAGAGTTAATTTCTATTCTAAAAAAAAGAGAAAGAGTGAGAATCGATTAGTGATCCAAAACCTTTTTTATAACAAATTAACAATTGATTAAACTCTGATATACGTCATTGTTAACTCTAAATCAAAACCGCAATAACCACGTGATTCACGTGACAATCATTAAGAATCTTAATGATTGTATAGAAGACTGGAACCCAGATAAGTTAAAACCTGAAAGAAAGCATTATCTTTGGCTTTCTGCTAAAGCCTACAACCAAGCAATCAAGATATAATTCAAAAATTACACTTATTGAAATGCTAGTATTGTCGCAGCAAGACATTGACCAAGTCTCTCTACCTTCTTTTAGCTTATTCTAAAAGTTTTGAGTTGTAAAATTGATAGATTAGTTAGTTGATTTTATCACTTGGTATCAAAGAGAAAGAGAATTTCAAAATTTATCCAAAATTCTATTGGATCAGTTGAATTAAAGTTTCAAAGAGCCAACTAAAATATATTATATGCCTATACCGCTATAGAGTTAATTTTTATTTTAAAAAATTCATAACTCAGTACTGTATTATAATTAACTATTATAGAGCAGTAAAAATGTATTAAACCTTTCAAAACCTTATAGCATAATTAAACATTATCTCTATGAAAAAAAAAATTATTATCTAAGTATAATGACTTTCATCACAATAACTATTATAGAGTCCAATCCTTTAGCAAGATAAGTAGGGCAAAAATGAGAGTTCTGACACACTTTTTTGGTACCCTGGGTACTAAAGTATTCATTTTGCTTTTTAGATCGCTCAAGAAGTCTATATTTTATAAAAAC